GGTACACACACACACACACACACACACACACACACAATGCTCTCCACAAAAGTAAAACTCCCGCCAAATATGGTATGCGCCTATGTGGGGGCGTGGTTAAGGAGTTGATATTTCTCAAATATATTTAACCCCCGAAAATAAAAAAATTCTGCGTAAAAACGAGATTAAACCCTTAATTTTACTCCGGAACACAACACTGGCAAGTAAGCATAAAATATTTTAATCTTTTATAAATAGAAACACTGTATGAGAAACGACTTTTATGTTTGACTGAGAGCTCAGAACGTCTCGAAAGCTGATTGGTCAGTGGGAGACTCGCCCTCCTGTCTCTTCCGTTTATGAACAACAGGGGGGGTATAACTTCAAATTATTTTATTTCTACACAATGAACTTGTAAATTTACAGATAGAATGTTAATTACATTATTCCGTACTATTATGTTTTTTTATTAGAAGCATGGTGTCTGAAAGCTGCATAAACTGTTACGACATTAACACTGTCATGAACCCCCCCCCCGCCCATACCGGAAGTGGTAGGTCTCCATTCATGTGATGTCGCTGCCTGTGATCTTGTAGAATTTAACCAACAAGATCGCATTTTTGCGTTATAGTTCCTCAGTGGGAGGATATTAATTTTTAATTGTACATAATTATAAATAAAATCTCTCTCATTCCCCTGTACGTCCAGATTAAACATGCTACGCGTGAGATCTGTCATCTGGCAGTCTTGGAAGGGGTATGTATGCATGCAGCTGCACATGGACTCACACATGACTTTCACTTTGCGAGAGTAATTTACACTTATTCTGAAGAGTTGCTGACATGTGTCAACTTATGCATTGAATAATAGTAATAATCGTACGCCTGTGCATTATTATGGGATGTGAGCAAGTGCTGGAAGTTTGCATTTTACGTGCAAGTGAGCAGGCAGACTGTGTTATGTAATATTCAAGAAACTTGTCCTCCCGCTGTTAGGTAGATGAGATCTGTTTGCACAAGTGTCTTTCATTGTTTTTACTGTAGCTCAATATATTCATAAGCATAATCCACATACTGAGACACTGTACACATATATAAAGAAGCCTTTTCTGCTCACCAAAGCTGCATTTATTTGATCAAATATACAGTAAAAACTGTAATATTGTGAAATATTATTACCATTTAAAATAACTGTTTTCTATGACAGTATATTGTAAAATGTAATTTATTTCTGTGATCAAAGCTGAATTTTCAGCATCATTACTCCAGTCTTCAGTGTCACATGATCTTCAGAAATCATTCTATTATACTGATTTGCTGCTCAAGAAACATTTCTGATTATTATCAGTGTTGAAAACACTTGTGCTGCTTCATATTTATGTGGAAACAGTGATGCATTTTATTTTTCTGGATTCTTTGATTAATATAAAGTTTAAAAGAACAGCATTTATTTGAAATAGAAATCTTTTATAACATTATGAATGTTGTAGCTCAATATATTCATAAGCATAATCCACATACTGAGACACTGTACACATATATAAAGAAGCCTTTTCTGCTCACCAAAGCTGCATTTATTTGATCAAATATACAGTAAAAACTGTAATATTGTGAAATATTATTACCATTTAAAATAACTGTTTTCTATGACAGTATATTGTAAAATGTAATTTATTTCTGTGATCAAAGCTGAATTTTCAGCATCATTACTCCAGTCTTCAGTGTCACATGATCTTCAGAAATCATTCTATTATACTGATTTGCTGCTCAAGAAACATTTCTGATTATTATCAGTGTTGAAAACACTTGTGCTGCTTCATATTTATGTGGAAACAGTGATGCATTTTATTTTTCTGGATTCTTTGATTAATATAAAGTTTAAAAGAACAGCATTTATTTGAAATAGAAATCTTTTATAACATTATGAATGTTTTACTGTCACATTTGATCACTTTTAATGCATGCTTGCTGAATAAAAGTATATCGTTTTTCTAAATCTCGCTTAATTTTCGAATGGTAGTGTATCACGGTTTCCACAAAAATATGAAGCTGAACTCTATGGATGTGTAATGCACTGTATAATAAACTGCTGAGATGTCATGTGAACTACCGCAGCTGTCTAACAACTGCATGCATTACAGACTAAAGTGACCCAATTGTCTCCTGTTACGGATTGACAGCAGGTTATTCTTCTAGTTGACTTTATATAAGTTACTGATTGAGAGGCTTGTGTCTCGTGTGACTAAACCAGATAAATAAAAAGAGAACTATTGAAGAGCAACAGCAAGTTTGTTGGTTTTGTTTCTCTGCAGGTTCAAGACCTTCCCGTGTGCAGCTGTGGAGGTGAAGAATGAGCCCATTCTGGGGTTCAGAGAGGGCAGTAAAGAGAGATTAGAACTGGAGAAGGTGAAGCACACATCACACACTGTCTCTGATGTCCCAGTACACTACATATGTGCATATCTGATTGACCGTCTCTGTTTTAGGCATTACAAAACCTGAAGGGAAAGACAGAAGAGATTCCATGTGTGGTTGGAAATGAAGAAGTCTGGACCAAAGATATCAGATACCAGCTGTCTGTGAGTTCATCTTTTCACGTTTATCACGTTTATTTGTATAGCGCTTTTCACGATACAAATCGTTTCTCTGGTTTCTGTACGAACATGTGATCTGTAGCTGGTACCTCTGGAATACTTGATTGTTCATCATGGCATGAAATATTATGATTAATATTACTATTATTCCACACACAACATATGTAGCCATGCAGGCTGCAGTCTCTTTCTTTTCTCATTATAAAATCATTTCAAATTAAATGAACATTTAACATATTATTATTATTATTATTATTGTCATTATTACAAATATTTGTTATTATAATAAAATTATTTACATTATATTACATTATATTTTTTCTATATTAAGATATTATTTTAAGATAAATTATTTATTATTTAAAATCAATTTATTTTTATTATTATTATTATATTTTTCTATGTTGTACTTTACATAAAAAATGTCAGCTTTTCAATATCAATAAGGTAAATTCGGGGGGTCCAATTATTAATCATTTTTATTATTATATTTTTCTATTGTCCTTTAAATAAAATAATTTCAATTTAAATCAGTATTAAGATCATTTTATTAAAAAAAATTCTGTGTTGTACTTTACATAAAATAATGTCAACTTTTCAATATCAATATTTAAGGTTCATTTAAAATCTGTAAAGGTCAATTAAGGGTCCATTTATTATTTTTGTATTATATTTTTCTGCTTTAAATGAAATTATTTCAAAATTAAATATTTAAGGTCCATTTATTATTATTATTATATTATTTTTTCTGTATTGTACTTTAAATAAACCTCTCTTCAAACAATCACAGAACAGTGTGGTTTTATTTTATTTTAATGGTTACATTTTATTATTATGATGTTGTATTTTAGTTATAGTTTTGTGTGATTTCAGTCTGTTTTAATTTGTTTTTCCCCCCCTCCTTTTAGCCGTTCAACCACTCTCACAAAGTGTCCAAGTTCTGCTATGCTGATAAGGTACAGTATGTTAATACTGTAAATCACAACATTGACATGAGGAAATACTGTGTGTTTGAGCAGTATTTGACAGTTTACTTCAACTCGTAAAATCCATTTTAAAGGTTTAATTTAGCATGGAATGAGGTTGGTTTTGTTCATTATTTCTCTGGTTGTGTCTTCAGGAGCTGATGAATAAAGCCATTGAGGCCTCGGTCGCTGCTCGAAGGGAATGGGATCTTAAACCCGTTGCGGATCGAGCCCAGATCTTCTTCAAAGCTGCTGACACCATCAGTGGACCCAAGAGAGCAGACGTTCTGGCCAAGACCATGATCGGACAGGTGCATTTTCACAAACATCCATTGCACATTTGGAGCTGGTTACTACTACTAGTTGTCTGATGTTAACCAGTCCGACACACCTTTGCACGTGGGATTATTTCTGCTGGCTTTCCATGAATCTGCTGATCTTTGCTCCGTGTCTCAGGGTAAGACTGTGGTCCAGGCTGAGATTGACGCTGCTGCAGAACTCATTGACTTCTTCAGGTTCAATGCCAAACATGCGATGGAGCTGGAGCAGCAGCAGCCGTTAGACAGTGATGGAAGTACTAACACAATGCTGTACCGTGGACTGGAGGTGGCTTCACTACTGTGGCGTTTCCTAAAAATTCAGATAATTACATAACAGATTTGTCTGCACAAGCCATTATTTGGTATTAACTTGATTTTTACTTGTTTTAGGGATTTGTAGCCGCTGTTGCACCATTTAACTTCACAGCGATTGGTGGAAACCTGGCCGGCACCCCTGCTATCATGGTGAGATGTCAAGTCCTGTTTATTTTGTATAGCGCAAATTCAATTTAAAAAAAGACAACAGTGTCATTATTCATTATTAGGTTTAGTTTTAATAAAAGTGCAAAATTCATCAGTTATAAAATAAGTTAATCTATAAGCAGAGCTGTCTAATCAATAATATTACTGAATATTAACTTCTAAACTTCTCTTTTAAAAGACTATTTCAAATTGTCTGTATTAAAGGAAAAGTTCACCAAAAAATTAACATTTGCTGAAAATGTACTACTCCTCAGGTCATCCAAGAAGTAGATGAGTTTGTTTCTTCATCAGATTTGGAGAAATGTAGCATTGCATCACTTGCTCACCAATGGATGCCATGGTGAGATGTCAAGTCCTGTTTATTTTGTATAGCGCTTTATGCAATACAGGTTGTTTAATAAACAGGAAAATTACAATGTTAATGTTGCACAAGTCTTCAATTATGTAACAAATTCAATTTAAAAAAAGACAACAGTGTCATTATTCATTATTAGGTTTAGTTTTAATAAAAGTGCAAAATTCATCAGTTATAAAATAAGTTAATCTATAAGCAGAGCTGTCTAATCAATAATATTACTGAATATTAACTTCTAAACTTCTCTTTTAAAAGACTATTTCAAATTGTCTGTATTAAAGGAAAAGTTCACCAAAAAATTAACATTTGCTGAAAATGTACTACTCCTCAGGTCATCCAAGAAGTAGATGAGTTTGTTTCTTCATCAGATTTGGAGAAATGTAGCATTGCATCACTTGCTCACCAATGGATGCTCTGCAGTGAATGGGTGCCGTCAGAATGAGAGTCCAAACAGCTGATAAAAACATCACAATAATCCACAAGTAATCCACACCACTCCAGTCCATCAATTAATGTCTTGCGAATCCATAATCCATAATATTGCTTTCTCGTCTGAATCAGGAGAGAAATCTGCACAGATCAATCACCGTTTACAAGCAAAAACAGTCCAAAACACTCCTAAACATATATGCGTTTTGATTTTAATGTGAGAGGACAACAGGAGATGGACTTTTTCACTGGAGGAAGCATTATGGATTATGGACTCGTATTTTGGCCAGAAGCATTGATGTAAAGTTAAAAATGTCTTAATGATGGATTTATTTCTTACAAGCATGCAGTTTTTCACTTCACAAGACGTTAACTGATGGACTGGAGTGCTGTGGATTATTGTGATGTTTTTATCAGCTGTTTGGACTCTCATTCTGACGGCACCCATTCACTGCAGAGCATCCATTGCTGAGCAAGTGATGTAATGCTACATTTCTCCAAATCTGATGAAGAAACAAACTCATCTACATCTTAGATGGCCTGAGGTTGAGGACTAAGCAAATTTAGCAAATTTTCATTTTGGGGTGAACTATTCTTTTAAAATCGTTTAGCAGTGACATGCATTAACACTTGAGTGACTTTGTCACATATATGCATTCAGGGTAACGTGGTGTTGTGGAAACCCAGTGACACGGCCATGTCTGCCAGCTACGCCGTCTATAAGATCCTGAGAGAGTCTGGATTGCCACCCAATATCATCCAGTTCGTCCCAGCCGATGGTCCGGTGTTTGGAGACACCATCACGTCCTCCGAGCACCTGGCGGGCATTAATTTCACTGGCAGTGTGCCGTACGTCTCTTTCTAAGCTTGTTGATTCAGTCAGACAGTATGTAACGTGATTGTGTTACACTTATCTTTAGTAACCTTCAGTCTGAGTTAAAGTTTGTCAGACTTTGTGGTCTCACAGTGCAAAGTGAATTTAAACCTCTTGGATGTTTTGCATGGTTCAGCCCTAAAACTTGTAGGATTTTATCCTACACTACTGTGCAAAAGTTTGGAGTCTGTAAGGTTGTTGTTTTTTTTGTTTGTTTTTGTCTCTTATGCTTACCAAGGCAACATTTATTTGATCAAATATACAGTAAAAGCAGTAATATTGTGAAATATTATTTCAATTTAAAATAACTGGTTTCTATTTTAATATATATTAAAATGCTATTTATTTCTATGATCAAAGCTGAATTTTCAGCATCATTACTCCAGTCTTCAGTGTCACATGATCCTTCAGAAATCATTCTAATATGCTGATTTGTTGCTTAAGAAACATAATTATTATTAGCAAAGTTTTGCTGCTTTATACATTTTTGGAAACTGATGTATAATTTCTTTTATATATTTTTTTCAGAACTTTCAAACGATTGTGGAAACAGGTTGCCCAGAATCTGGATATCTACAGGAATTTCCCTCGTGTCGCTGGAGGTTTGCGTTCCCATCGCATTAAAAATTTAATTCTATTGCCGTTTGACTTAAAATTAAAAAAAATATAAAATTTGTTTCTCGTGCTTGCTTTAGAATGTGGTGGCAAGAACTTCCACTTTGTGCACAAGTCCGCAGAAGTTCATAGCGTGGTGACCGGCAGCATCCGCTCGGCGTTTGAGTACGGAGGACAGAAGTGTTCGGCCTGTTCCAGGATGTACGTACCAGACTCACTGTGGCCTCAGATCAAACAGCAGCTCCTGGATGTGCTCAAACAGATCAAAGTGGGAGACGTAAGTGCAGAGAGTTTTGCCAGTTTCAGCAGATCAAGGCTGAATGCTTAGTATAGTCCAAAACTGTTCATGTGACACAGGCTGTGGTGGACAGTATTTTTTGTATTTTTACTTCGTTACCGTACTTAAGTACATTTTTAGTACAAGTGTAAAATCTGTACTTTATCTCAGTATTTTTATTTTGAGGAACATTAACTTTTACCTCACTACATTCCTAAGCATAATATCCAGGGATGCACATAAGTGGTGCACATGCATGGGTGAAATTAAAAATGCACGGGGTAAATAAGTTCAGACTGCTCATTTGCGTACCAACATGATTGACAGCTGTTAACGCACAGTCACCGTTTTAGATCGACTAACTGTAATACTGTATAAGATTTCCCTTCGAACTGAATGCCTAATTCAAGGCTGTGCCCTGCCGGTTTCAGAGCAAATACACAAAACTGACATTTCATTCACTGACGTGCTTCACTCGGCAGCGCAAAAACCCACAGTGCATAGACTTACTTGCCAAAATAAAAGCTTGCTGATTTTAGGTTTGAACATTTTATATAAATAAATAAATAAAAGCAAATGAAAATGTAAATATGAGCATTGTATTTTTATTGAACTTTATTATTTTGTTTATTTTATTTAAAAATGAATATATAAATAAAGTGCAATAATACTATTATTGTTTTATTTTTTATAGTTATATTTAATGGGTCACACTATGCAGTGTGAGCACCAAACTAAATCTCCAAGTGCCCTCATAAGAACCAGACTGAAAAACTGATGTGCACCCCTGGTAATACCGAACTTTTTACTCCACTACATTTCTTCAAAACATGTCATTCCTCTTAATTTTGAACTGAGATGCCATAGCAGTGTCCGATTCATGAATGAGCTGATTCTATTCAGGGAACTAGTAAAATCAGTTTGCAAATCGCACTGAACGATTCATTCGTGAATTGGACTGATCAGATTGTCAACGACTCACTGATTCAAAAGATCCGGTCAGAGCGAGTCTCCAGTTAACAATTCCGTGAATTCACAAGTCTGACTCAAAATGAGCCAAGAGCTATAGATCTTTGGAGCTTGAGTGTGTGCGCGCAAAAAAAAAAAAAAGTTAATAATGCTGAATTTTAGGATTTATTATTGGAAATGAAAATCATACATAGTTTGTGAACTAAATCTGCTGTAAAAGGGCGAGCTGTTTAAGCCCACTGTATGTTCCTGTGGCTCAGTGGTAGAGCATTGCGTTAGCAGCGCAAAAGGTCGTGGGTTCAATTCCCAGGCAACACACATACTGGTAAAAGATGTATAACCTGAATGCACTGTAAGTCGCTTTGGATAAAAGCACCTGCTAAATGCATAAATTATTATTAATTTATTATTATGAAATGCTTCAGTGCAGACATGTCCACATTTGTGTATCCCCGTCTCAGCAGGGAAGATTTTAGGTAAAAATGAAAAATAACATTAAAATAATGCAAATGAATGCCCATGCATCTTCCCCATTGCCAAAGCAGTTTCAAATGAGTTTCAAACTAGTATGTTTGCATAGCATTCTTCTTAAAATTTCATACATTTTGCCTTATGTGGCATCTGTTTTTACACTATATTGTCAACACACATTTAGTTTTTTCCTCATTTTTAAATACTACATGTTACATATATATTTTTTCACTTGTTTGAACAAAGTAGTAACACCAAAAGTAGTAATACAAAGTAGTATACAAGTAGTATAAATTAACACCAACCTAAATTGATATTTTAATATATTTAATGTTTTGATAGTGACCCAGTAACTGCCATTTTCTGTTTCATTTCACAGCCAGTTGAAGATTTCAGCACGTTCTTCTCCGCAGTTATTGATGACAAGGTACAAACCAACAACCTATTAATCCACTAACAAGTAAATGTATCACATTCTTGCTCATGTAATAAACACTCTCAATGTCTTTCCCAAGTCCTTCTCCAGGATCAAGGGATGGCTGGAACACGCCAAAACCTCTCCACATCTGAAGATCATCGCTGGAGGAAACTGTGATGATAAAAAAGGATATTTCGTGGAACCCACCATCATTGAAACCACCGACCCACAGGAGAAAATCATGAATGAGGTATAAAACTTGTTGCATGCAAAATTGCACAACGGTTCTCACGTTGATTTGGTTTTTCAGCGGTCAGGATTACAGTCACACACACACAGGCCCAGGGCGGTGAATGGATGGACTTTGGTTTGTTTAGATAAACCGATCTCTTCCATTTATCCTCATTTAACTCTTATCTTCACAAACGGATAGTCTAATAACATACCAGGATCCGATTAGATCCACCATTTGCTTTAAATGAATACTTGACATTATAAATAGTAATTATTTTTGACTTTTTTTTTTTTCACAATTTCAAATTTATATCTCACAATTACAAGTTCTAAACTTGTAATTGCTAGTTTACATCTCGTAATTCTGACCTTTTTTTCTGAATTTACATCTCGCAGTTGTTGTTGTTTTTTTGTTTGTTTGTTTGTTTTTGTTTCGCCACGGAAAAAAAATAAAGGTAAAGTGTGATTATCTTTCAAAATGATGTCTAGACAGTAAACAGATCTATCTTTTTATGATTGTCGAATAAGTAGAAGGAAACAGTTTCCATGTCATTTCTTCTGTTACATTTATAATGATTTGATGAGCTCTTTTAAATTATTAGAATTACATGTGACATTCTAATTTAAATCTGTAGCATTCTAATAGAATGTGCATAGAAGTGTGAACATCAGGAAGTGTGTTCTGTTAGCAAGGTATTGAAAACAGTCAAAATATCCTTCATTGGCAGTGCAATGCAATCTAACAACTTACTGTGCCTCAGTAAACACTTGGTGTGGATCATGGATTTTGTGACTTTCAACATTAAATAAGACTTTCTGGGCCTTCATACAGACCCAATCTGCTTTATTTGCTTTTATTTTCATGCTGTTTAGACTTGCTGCTGACACCTTGAATTTTCAAGGTTTATTGCTACATTGTTTTGCAGATCTGCTCTTCATAAAGACCTCAGATTTATGACACATTCACACTTCACAGAAGAAGGCTCGAGTGAAGAGATTTACCTCTAACAAATCGTAAAGATGCTATTTAAACTATGTATACAATTCCAAACAGACTATGATACCAACCAAAAATATAATTATTTTTGGTAATATTTATAGTTATTTTAGTCATTTATATACTACTATATGCACATTAGTATTTATTAATATTTTGAATTAGATTTGTATTTTTATATTTTCTGTTTGTCATTTAGTTTAAGCCTGTGCTTAGGTCATTTTTGTTATTTTATTTATATAGTTTATAGTTAGTTGCCAAGGCAACATTTCTAATTTTCATGTTATTTTTTAAAGTTTATTTTTAATTATATTTTACTTTTGTATTTTCTGATTTCATTTTAATTTTAGATTAAGTTTGTGCTTTTGCCATTTTTATTAGTTTAGTTTCAGTTTAGTGTTTTTATTAGTTCAACTTATTTTATTTTAATTATTTGCCAAGGCAACATTTCTCATTTTGATTTGTTTTTTAACAATATTTATATTTTGTTAAAAGATTGATTTCAATGAAAGAAAACAATTAACAACACCACAAATGGCTCTAGCTTTTAAGTCTGCATAGAATGCCACAAAAATCTACTGATTCTTTATTATTACTATTTCCTACATTAAAGGGGTCATATGATGCTGCTAAAAAGAACATTATTTTGTGTATTTGGTGTAATGAAATGTGTTTATGCGGTTTAAAGTTAAAAAAACACATTATTTTCCACATACTGTACATTATTGTTTCTCCTCTATGCCCCGCCTTCTGAAACGCGTCGATTTTTACAAAGCTCATCGGTTTTATTTTATTTTCTGTTTTTATTTTAATTTTAAAGTTTTTGTGAATTTTATTTTTATATTTTCTGTTTTTATTTGAATTTTAGTTAAAGTTTGTGTGAGTTTTTGTTTTATTCGTTTTTGTCCTATTTTTGTTCTGTTTATCGGTTTTATTTTTATTTATCTATTTTTATTTCAGTTTTAGTTATTCCAGTACATCAAGTTAAACTAATTGAAAATGGGAAATGTTGCGCAGCTGAAATAAAATAAGTTTACTTTTTTATTTATTTTATTTCAGTTATTGTTTATTTCAAGTAACGATTTTTTAATGGTTAGTTTCAGTTCACTAAACAAACAAAAAAAAGTGTTTTTGTTTAGTTTTTTTCCTGAAAAAGCTGTGGGTTCCAGAATAAAGATGAAAATGATAAAAATCATTTGTAAAGATGTACAGATAAAAATAAACCATAAACAGAAACGTTTGTAATTTTAATTTGTAGGGTTTTCTATTTTAAATATTAAAAAGTGTACTCAAGTTATGACCTCATTTAAAAAATAAATAAACCATAAATATATTATTAGCTCTAAGTATGAGTTAGAACATTAAGCAAACTATTAAATTTAGAGCTTTTAATATTAATTGTAATTAATTTAAAGTTTAAGGCATTCAAGTTATGAAAAATAAATAATCCATAAACGTGTGTAAGGTTTTCTGTATCAAAAATCTTTAATAAAAAAAGTATTCAAGTTATGACCTCGTAAAAAAATTATAATAATTAAACCATAAACAGAAATGTGTGTAATTTTAGTTTATTTTTTTTCTGAACTCAACATGATGAGACACTGTTACACATTCCATCAGTATGACGGATTTAACACTTCTAAAGGTTACAGACCTCATTAAAAAGATCATTTTCAACGGAAACATAATGAGGTGACGTATTCCTCATTTTTACAATATGTAAATAAAGTTCATCTCCACACAGGTGAAGTAAAGCAATAGATAGGTGCTCTCAGACTCAGGTATGGGGTAGACTGGTACATTCTCTGCGTCGTGACAGCTGCTGTCTACATCGACGTTTTATAAAAACCAAGTGTTTTTCTGTTTAGAGAAACCGTCTATTCTCTGTATGTCTTCGTAAGGATGCTATGAAGATCACCAGGGTCTCCAGAGCGCATGCTCTCCGCTGCTCTTTGACGCGATCTGACAGCTGTCACCAGCGGATTCCGCGCTCACTTCGGCTTGCTGGGTTGTGTCGCATTGTCCCATTAAAACTGGCTTGGCGATCTGTTGCGCCATGAATCGCGCCGTCTCCTCAATACACCTGGAGAAACCGTGCGCGTAGCTCTGCGCATGCGCGCTCGGACAAGCGTTGCTCTTCAGGTAAATGACAGCCATTTCCAGGACATCAGCCTTCTCTAGTTTAGAACAGGGCTGACTGGCTTTTATCTCGGCTTTCAGAAGAACTTTAAGCTGCTCGATGCATCTGTTAATACGATCTCTGCGCATCTTTTCCACCTCTGGTTTCCTCGTCTGGAAAAGAGAGCGGATCGTAAGTAAACACTCTTGCTTTGGGATGGAAATGAGTTCTTAAAAAAAGGTAAATACTTACTTTAGTTTTTTCCTTTCCAGTGTGAGTCAGTTTGCAGACAGTAGGAGCCATTCTGACCGCAGTTTGTTTGCTGTCACTTAATCGAGTGTGTGTCTTCTGCTGCAGTGCCCGGTTATATACGCCCTGATCCGGCGCGTCTTCTGTTTCCCACACTTTTGAGCCAATCAGAACGCGGCTCAAGGTTCAATAGGGAAAGTTTAAATTAGCCTGATCTTCCTTTGCTGGGAAACAATAGAGGTGCGCGGTACTGCGCGCTTAAGCAGCTGGAGCGCGCGTGTGTGTGTGTGTGTGTGTGTGTGTGTGTGAGTGAGTGTGTGTGGGTGTGTGTGTGAGAGTGTGTGTGTGTGCACGCACGCTGTAAATGGGAAGCGTGAAATTGCTGGAGTGCACGAGTCTTTGACAGCGTGCGTGGCTGTTCCGGCGGGAAAGTAGAGGATCAATGCAGTGAATAGAGATTAGGAGAACTTTCAGATGCTTCCCGCTCAAAACCTCTTTCAGAAGAGATTCTGAACAATTATTTGAAAGGCTAACAATGAGTAGATGTATAGCCCTTAATTAACACACGTAAGTGCATATATATATCTGTAGTGTTTTAATGTTTGCTATACATAATTTTTTTTACCACAAGCTTTCTCTCCAAAAAAGTTGATGAATTGAATTGAAATATATTGGTTTCTTAGATAAGATACAGTGCAAAACATACACACACATAAATATGTAGTCAGTACTTATTTGTGTTTTAAAAATTATTTTTATATAAATATTTAATTGTTTGTTCTTTTACATATCTTAAGTATATGAATGTTTGATATATACATATTTATTTACCACACACTTTCTATTACATGCATGTGTTCATTTTTGCATATTATTTTTAATTCTGTTTTCTATTGCCATTTTACATATTAGTATATTTTTCAGATGCAGAACATTTTTTTTACAGATCAACAGTGACCACGTTTTACCATTAGCCATTCGTATATAGTTTTAGATTGTTGTATATCATTGTTTGTGTTGTACTAACAATTTACATATTGAGAGTATATTAATGTTGGCTATACATACTAATATTTATTTACCACATGCTTTCTATTAAATCATATTTTGTATGATTTCTGTATATTTTAATTGTATTTGTTAAAATGTCAATTTACATAAGAATATTAAAGCTGCTGGTAACACTTTACAATAAGGTTCCATTAGTTAATGTTAGTTAATGTATTAACTAACATGAACAAACAATGAACAGTACATTTATTACAGTATTTATTAATCTCCGTTAATGTTAGTTAATGAAAATACAGTTGTTCATTGTTAGTTCAGTGCATTAACTAATGTTAACAAGCACAACTTTTGATTTTAATAATGCATTATTTTCACATGCGAGGTTCATGCGAGGTTCACTTGGCTCACTTACGCAGTTGTAAATTGCTTCGGGTTACTATAATGTTATTTTAAAGCAATTAGCCGGCATGCAGTCTGTTGTGAAGAGGCTTTAACATGCATGGAATCTTTCCATTGCACAAAAGGTCCTTTAGATTATTCAAATGTTCTTCACACCAAGAAAATCTTGGTTCTTATAAGAACTCATGACTGAAAGGTTCTTTAGGGAACCAAAAATGGTTCTTCTATGGCATCACATTAAAAACACCCT